CTAAAATGGTACATTTGTAAAGTCGCGATCTTTTCTATAGAACCACTCCCTAGTGTAAATTTTCAAAATTTGTTTGGTGTAAGTGACCTTGACGGGTTTCTGGGGGAACCATATGTGTCAAAAATTTGACAGGTTAGATGGCCCCATTGTCAATGTAGATATTTTATTTTAATAAATAGATGAACAGAACATACAGTCTGTACGGGATACAGTGCGGCATAGCTGAGGGCAACCGAAACATTCGTGTTGTGCTAATTTCGATTGCCATATCAACTACCGCTACCAACCGCGTTCGGCGTAAAGTACTAGATGACAGGGCTACCAACCTGACTTTTTATCGAGTGGTTCCGTAGAAATGACCGCTACTGTATAGGGAAATATCGACTTTGCAATTACGCAAAAACATGTCTTCCATGGTAATTTTTGTAGAGAAATAAAAGGATTTTGCAATTAAATTTCGCTTCTTTGGCTCTCGACGATTAAAAAAAATCATCACAATTGAGACAGGGTGGGTGGGCGGGGCTTATATTTTGCCTTTTTTTAAATATACGTAGCCGTTTTCTCAGAACAAGAAACTTAAAACATGTTTAAAATGGTAAATTATCTAAAGAGTACAATGTATTAAAAGAAGGCAAAATATACAACCACCCACCCACCCCATCTCAATTGTGAGTAATGGGTATTCTTAGAAACTTGAAATACGTTTAAAATGGTAAATTTTTGTCGGGAAATATGGATTTTGCAATTAGGCTCCTCCCTTACGTCTGGCAACGGATGATAACTTCATAATACATAGGTAGATCAGGGCAGGTATGGGTGGGGCTTAATTTTTGGTTTTATTTTTTTCTTAATATACATACATGTAGTATTCTTTTAACAACACGATTCTCAAAAACATGTTTTTAATTTCTTGTAAAGAAATAAGTATTTTGCAGTTAAGCTCTACCCCCTTGGCTCACGACGAATAAAAAAAATCATCACAATTGAGATCGGGCGGGTGGGCGGGATTACATTTTGCCTTTTGTTCTCAATATATGTAGACTTATTTCGACCCCAAGTAACTTAAAACATGTCTAAAATGGTGAATTTGTATAGGGAAATATCGAATTTACAATGACGCTCCCCCCCTCGATCTGACAAAGAATGAAAAATTCATCACGATTGAGATCGAGCCGGATGGGTGGAGCTTCTCTTTTGGTTTCTTTTTTAAATAATACATGTATTAGTTTTCTTTGTATAACACGATTACTTGAAAAACATATTTCACAAAGGGTATTTCTTCTAAAAAAATAAGGATTTTACAATTACGCCCCGCCCCTCGGGTTACGACCGATAAAAAAATCATCACAATTGAGATAGGGCGGGTGGGCGGGGCTTATATTTTGCCTTTTTTTTTTAATATACGTAGCCGTTTTTTCAAAACAAGAAACTTAAAACATGTTTAAAATGGTAAATTATCTATAGAGTACAATGTAAATAAAAGAAGTCAAAATATAAACCCCGCCCACCCACCCCATCTCAATTGTGAGTAATGGGTATTATTAGAAATTTAAAACACGTTTAAAATGGTATTTTTTTGTCGGGAAATATGGATTTTTGCAATTAGGCTCCGCCCCTAGGTCTGGCAACGAATGATAACTTCATTTCTACATATTTAGCAGATTATGGTTGGGGCTTAATCTTTGGTTTTAATTTTTTCTTAATATACTAATTTTATTCATTGAACAACACGATACTCAAAAATTTCTCGTGTAAAAATAAGGATTATGCAGTTAAGCTCCGCCCCTCGGCTTACGGCTTATATCCTGCCTTTTTTTTTCTTAATATGTTTAGTTATCTTTTCGCAACAAGAAGCTTAAAACATGGTTAAAATGGTACATTTTTGCAAAACAGTTAAAAAACAAAAAGGCAAAATATAAGCCCCGCCTACCCGCCCTTTCTCTGTTGTGATGATTGTTTTTATTCGCCGTGAACCAAGAGGGCGGAGCGTAAGTGCAAAATACTTATTTCTTTACAAGAAATTAAAAACATGTTTTTGAGTATCGTGTTGTTCAAAGAATACTATATACATTAAGAAAAAAAGATAAAACATAAACCCCGCCCACCCACCACATCTCAATTGTGATTTTTTTTTTATTCTTAGAAACTTAAGACGCGTTTAAAATGATAAATTTTTGTAAGGACATGAGGATTTTGCCATTAGGTCTGTCAACGAATGAAAACTTCATTACTATCAGGCCAGGCCAGGGTGGGGCTTAATTTTTCCTTAATATACATGGTAGTCTTTGAATAACACGATACCCAAAAACATGTACTACATGCTAATTTCTTGTAGAGAAATAATAAGGATTTTGCAGTTAAATTCCGTTCCTTTGGTTCTCGATGTTTAAAAAAAGTCATCACATTTGAGATAGGGTGGGCGGGCGGGGCTTATATTTTGCCTTTTTTCTTAATATATGCAGTCATTTTTTCCGAACAAGAAACTTAAAACATGTTTAAAATGGTAAACTTGTATAGGAAAATATCCATTTTGCTATTACGCTCCGCCCCTCGATCTGACAACGAATGAAAAGTTCATTACGATTGAGATCGAGCCGGATGGGTGGGGCTTCTCGTTTGGTTTTCTTTTTTAATTATTACACGTATTAGTTTTCTTTGTACAACAAGATTACTTAAGAACATATTTCACAAAGGGTATTTCTTCTAGAAAAATAAGGATTTTGCAATTAAGCTGCGTCCCTCGCCTTAGGACCAATAAAAAATCATCAGAATTGAGACCGGGCGGGTGGGCGGGGCTTATATTTTGCCTTTTTTTTCTTAATATGCATAGTTATCTTTTCACAACAAGAAGCTTTAAAACATGGTTAAAATGGAACATTTTTGCAAGAAAATATGGTTTTTGCAATTATGGGGCGGAGCCTAATATTTCCTTATACCAATTTTCCATTTTGAACACATTTTAAGTTTCATATTGCGAAAAGAAGTCTATCCATATTAAAACAAAAAGGCAAAATGTAAGCCCGCCCACCCGCCCTATCTCAATTGTGATGAATTTTTGTATTCGCCGTGAAGCAAGGCAAAATACTTATTTTTTTACAAGAAATTAAAAACATGCTTTTGAATCTTGTGTCGCTCAAAGAATAGTATGTATATTAGGAAAAAAGACAAAATATAAACCCCGCCCACCCACCCCATCCCAATTGTGATGATTTTTTTATTCTTAGAAACTTAAGACACGCTTAAAATGGTAATTTTTTGTAAGGAATGTTGCCCCTAGGTGTGGCAACGAATGAAAACTTCATCACTGCATATTTAGATCAGGACAGGTATGGGTGGGGCTTAATCATTAATTTTTTCTTAATATACATAGTATTCTTTGAACAACACGATACTCAAAAACATATTTTTAATTTCTCGTGTGGAGATAAGGATTTTGCAGTTAAGCTCCGCCCTCTTGGCTCACGACGAATTAAAAAAAAATCATCACAATTGAGATGGGGCGGGTGGGCGGGGCTACATTTTGCGTTTATGTTTTAATATTTGTAGACTTGTTTCGACAATAAGAAACTTAAAACATGTCTAAAAAATATTGTTAGCTACTGAATCACTATATTACAGCAAACCAATTAAACTAAATAGAACAGAATTTAATAAACGCGTCACATGAGTAAGGTATAATTAAACAGTCAGATTTTTTTTGCGTTACTACTATATTAGATACTTAGTTCACTTGAATCATAAATAATAATCAGTCCAGGTCAAACCGACAAGTTATATCAAGTTTGTAACATTTTGTGAATATACTATATTATTATGACGCGTATATATAACATAAAAAAAGACAAACAATGTAATCAACAAAAGGTAAAAATGTAGATATGTACATAAAACTGAAATTGAATAAACATTTTTTTTTATTTTTTAGCAGCTCTATGACATAAATATATGAAGAAATTAAAATTTCACAAAATATATCTTTGTAATTTCGTAATTGCATAATAACGTGTTAGGTAGACATAACTAATAAGATAAAAAATATCGCGTTGACGTCATCAATTCTTTGGGGGGAATCATAACGTTTTGCCAAAAATCAGCAGATAAGTTCCAAAGGATAAAATTGTGTTCGAATAACCTCACTTTTTTCAAATTTATAACAAATTAAAAAAAATATTATAAACACTTTTCAAAACATTAAACCTGTTCCATTCTTTTTACGACCTTGTACAGCCAGTTGTCGTTATTTTAAATTTATGCATGTTTTAATTTATTATAACATATTACTTGGCTATTTTACTTTAAATAAGTAGCGTCAATTACATTACTTAGCAAAATTACTTTTTTCACAATATTTAAAGCCGGACTTTTTTGATTATATTGAATAAATACGTTAATTTATAAATTTTCAAATCATCAACACATAGTGTGGAAAACCACCTATCTTTACTTTGTTTTGCAGTGTTTTTACCGTTGTTATTGTCATTATTTATATCGTTTTGAAAGAGTACGGGGTCTAGATTAGGCCTTGATTAGTATTAATGAACTGCCTAAAATGTTGCAGAGTTTCGCATCTAGGGTTTCTTCATCAGTCACCTCAAATTTTCAAAACTCGTGCTAACTTTTGGTATTTAGCCATTCGCAACGGACCGCCTCTGGGCACCGGAAGGGTAGGGTTATGACGTGTCCCATCGCACAGGTGAATACAATACCATTATGTAAGGTATTTTCGAGCATGATTGGAATACAAATTCGGGCAAAATGCGTACAATTTAGCCAGAACAAAGCCCGCTTTTCAGCAATTAGAGTAGGCGCGGCACGTCGCCGCTCTAAGCCTTCTTGATCGCCGCCACCCCAAAACCCGCGGCCCTTTTTCGCCAAAAAGCGCGCCCCATTAGCATAAATTCCCCATCAACCCAGTAATTTGCAATAAATATGCGGCTTTGGCGCGTTTCTTGGTAGAGACATGCGCGTTTTGACAACTATTTATTCGCAACTATCCCTGTATTGTCATTGGTGATAAAGCGCCGGTCAAGTGCGGAGCGTCGAGACGTTGCCTAGTGTTTTTCTATTGGTTCGTTTGTACATGTGACCGAAAATCGTGCTGACGGCGCTAATGCGAGTAAGTAGTAAAATCACGTTTATCGGGCACAAGTTTATGTATCTCTTAGATAAAAACCGCAAGGTGAAAAAAGTGTAAGCAATAAAGTCGAAGTACACGGGACTAACCTTCACAATAATTGGGAATTTATGTATCATTTTCTTGTTGTTATTCCAATTTGAAATTCATTATGCAATTAAGTGTGTCACAAAGGAAAAAGGACATGTATTGTTAATTTACAAAATGAAAATCATGGCAAAATGAGCGCTTGCAATTAAGGTGAAATCGAAACGTGTTGGACAGTTTTTTAAGTGTTTGCTGGTTGTAATTAGTGTGCTGGTATTTTTTAAACACGTGAAGTGGGCTTAATTGCAGTGAAGGACAGAGTTTGACCCTTCTAGAGGCAGGTGTCCAAGTTCGGCGCAACCGAATTTTAACGGCACTGCAGATGCTAGCTTGCTCCTTACTCATATTACCATTATTATTATTGTTTTGTGCAATGACATCACCGGGATCGTTTAATTACAGCCACTTGTTGAAAATTATCAATTAAGAGTGGTATCGCGGAAATGTATTAATGACCGCGGAAAATGGTCAACTTTGAGGTATTTTTAGTACTTCGAGCTTATCTAGAGTGTCATCCGTGTGATAAATTCGGACGGACGTAAAATTTATGTTTGTGTTATCTGCACGAAAGCTCATAATTGACAACGTAAGTAAAACATCATTACTCAAAATGTGTCCACTAAGGTAAATTTTTCTACAATACGTGAATAGTACTTAGTAACTGGAAGTAGTTTAAAACAGAAACATTCAACACAAGTGTATCTAATCTAATTTTGGTAAGTCGCTAAGACTTTAGAACACTAAGCAAAATTTAAATATTTCTTCATACCTTCCGGAAAGTTGATGACGTCATTTCCATTCATATGCGTTGTTACTGACAAATATGCACGACAGTGATTTCCTTTTAACATTCTTTTACTCGATTACAATTCACACAATTAATGTACATAATAACAATAACCAATTTTTTTATTGGTCACCTTATAAGCGACTCATTTACTTCAGTTAATATCTCTGCGATTCTGTGAATACGGTTACGTTGTGATTAGTGTTACATTGTACGCATTTAAATTAATGTAATATAACTGAATTGTTCCATCGATTGCCTTATAAGCGTTTCATCTAGTGTCCCAGGGATTCTGCGAACACAGTTACGTTGTGATTATTGTTACCTTGTACGCATCTAAATTAGTGTATTTGTTCCCATTAAAAAATTTAAGACATTGCATTATCTATTGCAATAAACTAAAACTTATGATTTTGAAACAATTTAAAAATCGGTTAAAAAATCTAGCTGATTTTTATAATTACTTACACTTGTATAGAAAATTAGTTTACCAAAACGGTTATTTGAAAAACTCATTCTTTCAAAGCATTTTTGTAGAGCTTATTCCGTTTTTACTTTTTACTTCCCGAGTGTAAGCCAAGGAAGTCCATGTTGAATTTTTATCCTAAAAATCGAGATATTGGGAAAAAAGTCAAAATTGTGCAACGATTTTTCGTTTTCTCAATTTTTGAACTTTGGATTTCTCGAATTTCCAAGTTTCGATTTCTCGATTTTTGAGATATTTCGGTTTGGGGATTTTTCGAATTTTCGATTTTTCAAATTTTCGATTTCGCGAGTTTCTTGCTTTTCGATTTTTCGATTTTTGACTTTTCGATGTTTCGATTTCCCGACTTCACAATTTTTCAATTTTTGGTATGTCGGTTTTGATATTTCAGTTTTTAATTTTTGATTTTTTTTTATTTTGGGCTATTTTGATTCCTCGATTTTTCAACTTTTTTTGATGTTTCGATTCCTGGATGTTTCAATATTTAAAATTTTCAATACTTCGATTATTCCATTTCTTGGTTTTTCGGTTTTTTTTCTTCTCGGATTTTCGTTTTTTCGATTTTCCAATTTTTCGATGTTTTAATTTTTCAGTTTTTTTATTTTCCAATCTTTGGACATTTCAGTTTTGGGATTTTTCAATTTCCGATGCTTATTAAATTAATCGAAGAAAATTTACTTCGATTAATTTAATTTTTCGATTTCTGGATGGTACGATTTTTCGATTTATCAATTTTTTGATATTCAAGTTTTAGGATTTCTCAATTTTTCCATTCTTCAGTTTTTTATATTTTGATTTTTCGATTTTTCAATTTCCGGATTTATCGAGATTTCGGTTTCAATTTTTTATTGTTCATTTTTATGATTTTTCTGTTGTCGAATTATCAATTTTTAAAAATTTAAGTATTTCAATTTTTCAATTTTTATTTTTTTATTTTGGACTATTTTGACTTCCTGATTTTTTTTTATGTTTCGAATGCTCGATATTTCAATTTTTAAATTTTTCAATATTTTGATTATTCGATTTCTTGGTTTTTCGACTTATCGGATTTTCGTTTTTTCGATTTTACAATTTATCGATATTTTAATTTTTCAACTTTTCATTTCCCATTCTTTCCACGTTTCAGCTTTGTAATTTTTTAATTTCTTGATTTTTCAATTCTTCAATCCAATTTTCCGATTTTTCATTGTTTCGGTTTTCTTCGATTAATTTAATTTTTCGATTTCTTCATGTTTCGATTTTTCGATTTATCAATGTATCAATTTTTTGATATTCGAGTTTGGGGATTTTTCAATTTTTCGATCTTCAGTTTTTTATATTTTGATTTTTCGATTTTTAAATGTTAGATTTTTCGATTTCTAGATTTCTGTTTTTTTCATTTTTCAATTTTTCGATTTTTTAGTTTTTCAAATTTTCAATTTTTCAATTTGTTGATTTATTCAGATTTCGATCTTGAAAGTTTTTTATTGTTCATTTTCTTGATTTTTCTATTTATCGATTAATCAATTTTTTATAAATTGAAATATTTAAATTTTTCAATTTTTTATTTTTTAGACTTTTTTTCGATTTTGGGCTATTTTGGTTTCTCGATTTTTCGACTTCGCGATTTTTTTTATGTTTCGTTTCCTCGATGTTTCAATTTTTAAAGTTTCCAATATTTCGATCACATATTCGATTTCTTGGTTTTCGACTTTTCGGATTTTCGTTTTTTCGATTTTGCGATTTTTCGATATTTTAATTTTTCAGTTTTTTCATTTCCCAATCTTTCGACATTTCGGTTTTGGGATTTTTCAATTGTTCATTTCAATTTTTCGATTTTTTTAATTTTTGATTTTTCGATTTCACAATTTCTCGGTTTTTGATTTTTCTGTTTTTCGATTTTTTTTATTTTACACTTTTTTCATTTCCGAATATTTCGACGTTTCAGCTATGGGATTTTTCAATTTCTCGATTTTTCAATTCTTCAATTCAATTTTTCGATTTTTCAACGTTTCGATATTTCAGTTTTGGTATTTTTCAGTTTTCCGATTTTTCAAATTCTCTTCGATTAATTTAATTTTTCGATTTCTTGATGTTTTGATTTTTCGATTTTACAATTTATGAATTTTTTGATGTCTGAGTTTTGGAATTTTTCAGTTTTTCGATTCTTCAGTTTTTTATATTTTGATTTTTCGATTTTTCAGTTTTATATTTTCCGATTTCTAGATTTCTTATTCTTTTGATTTTTCAATTTTGCGATTTTTTAAATGTTACATTTTTCCCTCCTTCAATTTCTCAGTTTTTTATATTTTTCAATTTTTTAGTTTTTCGAATTTTCGATTTTTGATTGTTCATTTTCCCGATTTTTCTATTTTTTTTTTAATTTGGGCTATTTAATTTCTCGATTTTTCCTTTCCTCGATGTTTCAATTTTTAAAATTTTCAATTTGTATTTCGAGTTTTTCTCGGTTTTTCGAGTTTTCGAATTTTTGGATTTTCGCTTTTTCAATTTTCCAATTTTTCAATGTCTTGATTTTTCAATTTTTTCATTTCCCAATCTTTCTACATTTCAGTTTTTATGATTTTTCAGTTTCTCAATTTTTCAATTTCTCAATTTCTCAATTTTTCAAGTCTTCAATTTGTAATTTTTCATTATTTTTTTATTTTTATAATTTCATTTTTTAAATTTTTCCAATTTTCCGTTCCTTGACATCTCAATTTTTGATTTTTCGATTACTTTTTTGGAAATTTTTCCATTTCTGGATTTTTCAGTTTTTCGATATTTTAATTTTGAAATTTTAGATTTTTCAGTTTGTTGATTCCTCGATTTTTCCGTTCTTTAAATTTTAGAATGTTCGATTTTTGACTTTTTAAATTTTACATTTTTCGCTTATTTAATTTCTCGGTATTTAAATTTTTCGATTTTTCAGTTTTTCAGTTGTTCGAATTATCGAGATTTCGATTTTTTATTGTTCATTTTCCCGATTTTTCTATTTGTCGATTTATCAATTTTTTATAAATTTAAATTTTTCAGTTTTTAATTTTTCGATTTTCTTTTATTTATTATTTCTCGATTTTTCGATTTCGCGACATTATTGATGTGTAGATTTTTAAATTTTTCAATATGTCTTGGTGTTTCGAATTTTGGACTTTTCGGATTTTCGTTTTTTCGATTTTCCAATTTTTCGATGTTCTAATTTTTCACCTTTTTTAGTTACCTAATCTTTCGACATTTCAGTTTTGGGATTTTCCAATTTCTCGATTTTCCAATTTTGCAATTGAGTTTTTCGATTTTTCAACTTTTCGATATTTCAGTTTTGGTATTTTTCAGTTTGCCGCTTCTTTAATTTCTCGGTTTTTAAGTTTTTCGATTTTTCAGTTTTTCAGTTGTTGGAATTATCGAAATTTCGATTTTTTATTGGAGATTTTCCAGATTTTTCTATTTGTCGATTTTTTATTTTTTCGAATTTGGGCTATTTGATTTCTCGATTTTTCGATTTCGCGACATTTTTGATGTTTCGATTTCTCGATGTTTCAATTTTTAAATACATACTTCAATATTTTGATTTTTCGATTTCTTGGTTTTTCTAGTTTTCGGATTTTCGCTTTTTTAATTTTCCAATTTTTCAATGTTTTGATTTTTCAA